ACACCTGATGATGGCCGTCTGAGGCCGAAACATGTAGTGTAGGAGACAAAATCAAAAGACACAAAATATATTGTTTGCACTTGAGACGGAGTTTGTATCATTTATCGTATGGAGTGCAACAGGATGCTTAAATATAATATTGAAAAGTCTATATCTTGAATGTACTTAATCTTAAGACTCTCTTGGCTACATCCTATTCCTTCACTGCTAAAAATGCAAGCATTTACATCTTTCATATAAGATTTTCAACACCTTACATTAAGACAGCCAGTGAATCTCTGTGAAATGTGTCAAGTCCTTGCTTTCTGCTGTGTTATCAACTGAAATCTTATATGACAAGGTTCTGTGACAAGGATTATTATGTGATAATTAGATAATTAGTTGCCCTAACCAAAGTACAACATATATCTTTCTGTGGAAATGATACTGAAATGTCAAAACACATAGTAAGCCAAAATTACTGCTAGGGGAACCCACTTCTTTTCATTTTCTCAGTTTTATTTATTCATATATTCTCCTTACAAATGATGTAATAGGGGTATCCACACGATTTTTGTTTTTTAAAAAATTACAGACTTTAATCTTCTAAAGAATGAATTTCTCCTAAATAATATTTAAATGTTCAGTTCAGTTCTGAACTCACAGAAGACATACTGCTTTTATATTATAAACGCTGGTTAACGCTGTTTATGAAAATCGCTGTTTATATTGAGAATGGTATGAACAGATAGATGCACTATGTGAGCAAAATGCAGTGACATTAATGGTGAACGAGGTGATGCATGCAGTAATCACTATGTTTTAAAGGCTTAAAGGAAAACATCAAATTCTGCTTCACACTAGGTAAAACCGTTACAGAAACTTGAAACGTGTATAATTTGCCTCTAGACAGAACTCGCTAAGTAGAACTTAAAATGTTATATAAATTATGGGAGTGATGAAAACAAGCATTTCACTATCCATGAACTGGCTCATTGGGAGGGAATCTCATATGCATTATGACAGGGCAAAATATGAATATGTAATGAATTGCTACAGAATTCATGCCTATACTACTGACAGTAAAAACAGATTTGGGTTAGCGTGTGCATAAACTTTAGAAAACACCCAAAAGAAAGAGAGGAGGGGGGGACAATATTTTCCTGAGGCCATCACAGGTAAGGAAAAAAAAAATTGTAGTTATAACCCTGAAACAAAGCAACACTCTTCATAATGAAAGAGACTGGAACTACCATGACTAAAATAGGCCAGACAAAAATTTGTTGTGATGTAAATGAGCACCAGGAGTTTGCTCCTTAGGAAATCAAAAACTTTTTCTGACAGATGTTTTGAAATGTCTAAAGGAAAATAAAATGTATAGTGGATATGTTCCAAGAAATTGTACTTTCTACACCACAATAATACTCTCTTATATCTGTGTACGAATTTCTTGGCGGGGGAACTTCACAATAATTTTACCTTACCCTGCATACTCCAATAATCTAGCCACATATGACACTTTTCTTTTTCCAAATACTCAAGGGCAAAGAGATTTGATGCCATGACAATCAAAGAAATATCAAATACTACACTTGCAAAGTTCAAAACATCAGACATCCACAGATGTTTCTAATAATGACAGAGTAATCAGATTCACTGTATCACCTCACAAGGAAACTCTTTGCATAAGCATAAAGAGAAAAGTCAGTCCAGAAATCTTCTGGTCACATCTTATATACTTAAATTTCAACTGTATTTATTTACAGACCAGCATCACAATACTAGTAGCTGGTGTGTTACATTCAGTTCAAATCCCTCATAATTTCCTCCAACTTTCCACATAACATGTTCTATGGAAATATTAAAAAGACAATAAAGCATTAAAGCAAACCATTATATACAGATTTAGTTCAAATTCATTCTACTTGAACCAAGTAATTTTTTAATGTACTGAATCCCAATTAGAATGCTGTATAGTACTTCTATCCTGTCATAGGTTTTTGAAGTCTACAAATGGCAGATAATAATAACACTACCTCCTAATATCTAAGATCTAAGAAGTCTTATTGGCAATTACTCTATTATGTTCAAAATGATATTGATAATCCCAAATCTTATTTATATAAATAGCAAACCTTGGCATAATAGTAGGGGATATCATTTTTAATTATGTCATTTTGCTGTGAGTTCTTAAAAATTTCTAAAATTGATCTTATTACTCTCCTTATAAATATGTACAGCATAGATTCCTTCCACTGCCTTGGTAACTTTTTTATGAAAACAAAACATATAGTTCCAAAGAATTTGTGTACCTCAAAATGTAACATGTTTTGTCCAGATTAGATCAGTTCAGCCACATTCTTTTATACCTGAAGTTATTCAGAATTGTTGTGTCTTATATGCATATGTACTTGAAAATATTTTAACAAATTTAAATTTGTAAATAACATACTTAATATTAAAAAGAATCTTTAAGAACATTCAATAAATATTAAATGGACTTAGGAATATAACTGTATAATTATAAATATTACAAGTAACAATTTTAATATTAATTATGTTGGTTTAAAAAATGCCAAGCATTAGTGTCAAATTATAAATATGCAGCAGTCCAACTTCACACAGTTCAGAAACACAATTAACTTCTGAATATAAAAATTCTTATTTCACCAAGAAATTGAACTATTATCATCATAAATAAGTAGTTCCTCTGTTCTGTACTTTGTAGTAAAATAATTTAGTGAAGCCACAATGCTAAACATAAGCAATGTGATGATACAACTTCAAAAGCATTCAATTCTGGCACATTATAGCAGGAATATTAAATGAACACTGACATTCACTGAACATTACTTATTGTTAATATCCAGTTTTGAAACTGAAAGATGTCATGCCAGATTTCAGAAGAAATAATTTTAAGTTGAAATGATGTTCAAATAACGATACCTTGTAACATTTCATGGCCAAGGAATACTAGGTAGATTGGATAAAAATGGAGAGAAGGGTTCTTAAGTGTGCAATATTTTAAATTATTTTCCTTCTTTTTGTGAATGAAAGAAAATGGAGAAAGAAACTAGAAGAACTTAATTACTGATTATAATGTGACTTGTGTGGCATCAGTGTAGCAGAGGAAGTTCAATGTACTCACACTGCTTCTAGTACAAAGTGTGCCATCTTCAATATAGCAAGGTACTCATGCTAAAATCACTTATGTTGTACTTACAAGACAACTGACTGGACTGGAAGTACAGGAATTAAGCTAACCTTGTATAAAATTCAATAGCATAATTAGTTGGCAGGCACTATATACAAGTCACAGCCACTGCAATTATGATAACTGGAAACTCCTCAAAAACAAAGTCTTTACTCAAATTGCTGCAATACTTATGTGTGTGTGTGTCTCTATATGTTTACAAAGTCACTGTGCAACTTTAAAGTTTAACAACTTTGGATCTGCACACGACAGAAGCAAATTATAAATGGTATACGGAAGCATATTTCATAAGTTTTGATGCAAATGTTGTTGCAGCTTCTGATAAGGCAACATTCCACATTAGTGGTAAAGCCTACCATCACATTTGGGGAAGTGAGAAATCTCAGAATGTCTAATAATATGAAATATAGCCCCCAAAATTAATATCTGGTTTGTTCTCTGGAAGTCATGCATTACTGATCCTTTTCTTCTTGAAGAAGCATCAGTAAATGTTGCAAACTTTCTTTACCCCTAAACTGCAATGATTAAATATTTCAAGTAACATCTTCCTCCAGCATCATGGCCTTCTTTTCCCCTGTGCTATAAATTTGAGAATGGCATTTCCCCAGACATGTGGATTGATAGGCATGAAATAATGCTTAGATGCTTTGTTAAAGAGGCCAAATAAAAATTAATCCATCAAAATTATGTAAATAACTTTTTTGGTGTGAAGAATCTGATGATTGGAAGATAATAAATATTTCACTACTTACTACTTTTTTATGATCTAATATTATCTTTTATTAAATCTTGAAATTTCCCTGTACATGAAATTATTCTGTTTCCAGAATGACTACAGTTTACTGGATAAAAACAATAGAAGAGATCTACAGCTGAAGCAACCAGTACCAGAACATGAATATCACGGCTGTTACATTGTAGTAAACACCACTCAGTATTACTTAGAAAACTTTGTTAAGTTTATAAGAAACAATATGGTACTACTATAAAAATATTTACATTCTATTAACTCCTTGTAGCCAATATGAACAAGCAATGAAATCACACATAAATTTTCACTATTCCTGTAATTTAGCCCAGCCAGTTCCTAAAAATATCTTAACTTAGTGACTCAAGAAATAAAAATGGCACGTGTAAGTAAACCATCACATTAATTCTCCTCATAATGAACTAAAATGAATACAATACTATTTGTAATTGTTTTCACTGATATTTATCTATTAATTCTTCCAGGGGTGTCAAATTGATGAACAAAAGTTAAAGACAGTTGTCATGCAAGTTTTGAGATTCAATACATTCTTTCAATTTCTTTTAATATCTAACACTGGTACAAGTAGAAACACATTTGGTATTAGCAAAGTGAGGGAATCAATTAGACATGAGTCTTAAGAGATCCCTAATTGCATAAATTTTCAGACCTATACAAGTGAAATTTTCTAGCATAATTATAGAAAATGTTTAACATGTACATGTATGATACATACCTGTACAAGGTCAAAGGAAGATTGGTGGGTGAGAAAGCTGTTGAAATTTTTGTGCACTGTGACTTTTAGAAACCACAAAGTAATTTAAAACCATAAGTTTCCTACAATTTCAGTGTTTATTATTCTTTTGTGAATCAATATTAACACTATTTCCTTATTCTTCCTCCATTATATGCAGAATCTTAACCTGTCATCTCTGAAACAGGTATCTCATTCCACTGATGGGTTTTTAATTCTCTGAGTTTAGTTTAGTTCATTAAAAAAGAGATCAAATACAAAAGATCACTATCTCCACCCTTCAGTAAAAGGATATGAATTTTCACCTGCTGTGGCAGCTGAGTTAACAACAGGTTTTGGTGACGAGTGAGAAGAAAGAGCTGCAGATGTTTCTACATGCTCATTGGTCAATGTAGCTGCTGAAACAGGGGGAAGCTCTGCAACTTGTTCTGGCTTCCCATCTAACCTATGAAAGCAAACAAATGCATGTTTCTTGTAATGCATGGGTGAAAGTGATACAAAGACTGTATGTCTCTCGAGCTAAATATAAACTCACTGCTACTTTTAAAACTACTAGCAGACGACACAGTATTCAATTTTGGCGGCAATATACTGCTTGCAACAGTGTGGTGGCAGTTCACTGCAACCGTGCAGTAGCTGTCATTGGATGCAGTGCTGACTCTTACTTAACGTAAATTCATTACTGCTTACTGTAATAAAGCAACACAAACTTGACCATAATTCATAAGAAATGCTACGATTCTCTTCTGCCTTCAAGCATGCCTAGCAGCATGTAAACATCTGAGGTGATTCAATATGTTGGTCAGATACCAATCTGAATTCAGGATATCCTGGAAAGCATTCAGGCCAATAATTTACCACACTTAAAACATACCTAACCAATATTTTTACATTATATAATGGTATCTTTGACTAGCATGAGGATTTTCTTCACTCCATATTTATACATTTTTGGTACACACAATACCACTACAATAAGGCCTCATCAGTTATGAAGAGCAGCTCTGATCCGTAATGTCACTGTTCACATTTTGCAGCATCAAACTGCAGAAGTGAATTCTTGCTGCCTAAAATGGGTGCTTATGCTAATGCACATACATTATTTGCTAATCAGACTCATGGCTGTGGATGCAGACCCCAGTGAAACACCAGTTTCTTCTGCCAAATGTCTCTGCAAAAATTGGTTTCCAACCATGTATGAATATCTTAAAATTTTTCCTTCAGTTACCAGACACCTCTTGGATTGTTTCTTTTGTCACAAACTGAATGCATGATTAACCACTTTTGGAAAAGTTCTGATACACACAATGCTGTGGGAATCTCTTTCTATGGGTCAACCTCTGAAGCACTTTATCTAGGTTTCCTTATATAAAGCAAAGTAAAAATAAAGCTACCCTGTTCTTAACTGACCATCTCTGTGGTACAGTGGTCAGAGCTCCTGCTAGAGATCCAGAGGTCCCGGGCTCGATTCCTGGCACTACCAGATTTTCTGAGTAGTAGTGGGTCTTGAACAGGGTCCACTCAGCCTCGTGAGGATAACTGATGAGCTACTTGAATGGAAAAGTAGAGGCTCCAGTCTAGAAAACCGAGATTAGCACCTGTGGGGAATCCATTGTGCCGACCACGTGACACCCTCTGCAAAAGTTGGCACTAACTTCGCCGACAAGTGGTGGTCAGTTGCTTGGTATAGTTTACTTGCAGACTAAAAGCCACAGAGTATTTTTTGAGCTTAACTAAGTACCACACCCTGATGATATATGATGTGTGCAGCACCTCTGAACTAGATGGGAGTCATCAGTTTCAGGCCCCAGCTGCTTAACCCCCATGAAAAGAGCCCAGTACTCAGCGGAGAGTAGATTGCATGGGACCCAAAGCCAGTCTGTACACTGTGGAGGGGAGAAAAAATAACTGGCATCTACCAGGAATCAAACACTGATTCCTCTGTCATCCAACAATAACCTAGTTAGGAAAACACTGCTAAATAATATACATCATTACAAGAGTAACATGATTCAGCCCTGAAAAAAAAAAATTTAACAAGAAAACTTCTAATTGCTACTGTACCGATCACAATGTTTGATGACTGCATAAATGACTTGTCATTGTAATGGAGAATTATGTAGTAATTGCCAGCCAAATCATCCATCAAGATCATGATGTTGCCATGTTTCCTTCTTGTTTATATTCTCTGTATAAATCTTCACAACTTAAGAACTAACAGAGTGGTCCCAAGGTCTCAGAAATAATGTGATCTTCCAAATCTATTATACCAAGTCTCTGTAGTGTGCTATCAAAAATCCTGTTTATGCTTCAGTTCATTTAAATTCAAATGACAATTTAACTGCTTGTGCTTGATCACATCTTGAAATTCCAAATATTGTCCTCAGCACCACTCTTGAATGTGTTCAGTCTACAAAGACCATTCCAAAGAACCCATCCAAATCAGATGCCATGTTTAACATGCAATATTTTTTGAGGTGATGAGATTTTAGCCTCTGCCCAATCCCCATGCTGGAGACCACCACTTGCCTGCTGCCCACAACTGTTTATTCAGTAGATTCCCAGCCATCCCCAATATTTATCTACAACCTGGATGAAACATGGGTTCTATAAGGGGTAGGGACCTTCCTGGCTAGCTGAGTGACTGTTAGCTACAGGAGGACACTGTTCCATAGAGTGTACATGCCACAAATGAGTGCTTCTCTAACAATGTTTCACATATTCACTAAAATTAAAGAAACAGGAACAAACCTATACTGTTTGAGGAGCGTACAGTCTCCCCCTTCATTAGTATCCAAGTTGTACACATACAAGGTTCCATCAGCTGATGCCACCAGGAGACGCAAAACTTTCTGAATCCTGACCAAAAGAACAAATAAACAAAGTTGTCAAGAATAACTCACTAATGCTGACAGGCAAATGTACATATAATATTTTCTGCACACCCATCTGTGGTTATAGAAGTCTATGCATACAGTACCAACATTTTCTGATACACTGAAATAATTGTGTTTGATGAAATACTAATCAATCACATGTCCTATTCACTGATTTCTCATGTTTTCACTAATGCTCAGTTTAATACTGCTATTCAATTATATGTCCCATTCTGAAATTTCACATGTCTTTAGCAATGACCAATTTAATGCTGTTAAGTTGGCCATGGACTTAATTTTTTAATAGGCCCTTCATTTGACATGGGAACTACAGTTTCTTACTTCATTTATTTCAAATGGGCCTTTAATCTGACAAGGTAACTGTGTGTTGAGCTGGAAGAATGATGAAAGGAACTGGAGAGAAATTAAATCTGTCGAACCTTAACATCAAGGAATATGGACAAGACAGTAGCTAAGAGAATTTCATGGACCCTATACCAAATTGTAGAATAAAACTGAATGACATAATGGTTAAACAGGTGGGTGGATTTATTTGGGAAGTGAAATAAATTCAGAATGCAAAATCAATAAAATGATCAAATGAAGAATATAAAATAGTTCCAAATTTTATCAGATTATGAAAGGAACATTATGGAACACAGAGATCCCAAAAGAATGTAAAAGAATCTATAAAACACAAGGCTAAAGATGGGGCCTTTACAAACCAAAAACCTGTTTACCAAAAAACAGAAAAATCCAAGCAAGTGATACATTTTTAGACGAGATACAAATAGAAATGATTCTCAGGGTTTGGCCATGTAAAAAGAATAGACACTACAAGGATAATGAGAATTAAAATTTTAAGAAAAGAGACTGTTATGCCGTGGTGGCAGGGGGGCGTAGAGGTATCCCACTGCTGCCACCACTGTTACTCCCCTGCAACAGGGGTGGATTGGTTATCTCACTGCTGTCACCACAGTTACGCCGTGTGACAGGGGGCGTGGAGGTATCCCGCTCTGTCACCCAGTTTAGTATGCTGCCACCATCTTGTTCTGTCAAGAAAACTCAAGTAAACTTATCGATCGCTTACGTCACTAGTCCTGGCTTTAACTCGCAATTCGCCGAAGCTTCGGGAGGGCTGGAGTCGTCAGGGAAGATGGTAACACTTGAGGGGAGGCTAAGTTCAATTAACATCACAGCGCATTTCTATCCTACTCTATTCAACTATGTCGCTATCTACATAATTTATACACTTTGCCGACATCTGTCGGTTCGCATTACATTTGGTTATGACCCTGTAGTACACACATTAGTTCTACTACCCTGTCACCCTGATATTGGGTACTCAGTACCTCTATCTCTCTTTCTCAGTAAACCTAGTCCATCTAGTCTTCACTTTCTCTCCCTGGGGTTTGCACTTTAATATTATCACACTTATTGTTCACGTCTATATGAAGTTGGTTCACTTACTTGATCTGAGGAAACAGACGCTCGCCATCACCAACCAACAACTACTCGTTGCCATCACTCTCTCGGTGATGGCCTCCGGCTGAACTCTATGTCAATTAATAATATTCAAAAGTTTTTCGACTGATTCCTCTAGGGTTTATGTACCCTCTTTTTGCTGACTCGTTGGGTTTCGGGGTGTATTGGCCCGCCCATTCTGACGTGATTTTGGGTCGGTGTGGCCCACTCATTGGCTGTTTATTGAAAGGGGGTTGGCTCTTTCAGGTCTACCGCCTTCTCCGACTCAGCGTTTTCCTCATGCCATAGTATTTATGACCTACTTCATATGGCTTCTTCCTCAATGTCAGCGTTATTACCTGCCGTGCTAGCATTCTGATTACTAAGCTATAGCCTGTTACACTTCTTTGTAAACCCAAGCTTCCTGGTACGTTTCATTATTTCTGTTTCTTAATCTTAAAGTCTAGATACACTTATTCCAAATTTACCCCAAAAAACTATATCTACTTGTACATAATCCTTGCGCCATTACAGAGACTTATGTGATACCAAAGAGGGACACTGTTTAGTCAGATACTGGAAGACTTCAAGAAAAAAGGGATGTGCTGGAAAGAAATAAAAAAGAAAAGGCTGTGAGAAGAAAGAAAAAATAAATAAAGGATTGGAGACATTTCAGCCATTAACCCAGATAAAATGGAAACAATGCTGCTAGTAGTAATGGTAGTGGTAGTGGTAGTTTTTTTTTATTGCTAGTGGGGTGGGACTAAGTCCTGTGTACTGTGGCCACTTCTGGCCTGTTGTACCAGCCCCAGATGATAGGTGAGGGTGATTGTGGTGCAATTGGTGGAATAAAGATTGGCAGGGGAAACCGAAGTACTCAGAGAAAACCTGCCCCAACGCCATTTTGTTCACCACAAATCCCACTTGACCAGACCCGGGATCGAACCTGGACCGCCGCAGTGGGAAGTCAGGGGCTAACCGCTTGAACTACGGCGCAGCCCTAGTGGTAGAGGTGTAGAGGCAGTGGTGCTGGTGCTGGTGGTGTTGGTAGTAGCAGCAGCAGCAGCAATAGTAATAGTAGCACATGAAGAAGAGAGTTGTATCTCCAATGTATGTCCAGAAATGATGATTCTTACACCAAAGATGGCCTTGTACTTAAGGATCATACCTTGAAAATGAATGGGGGACTGAAGGTACAGGTCCACATACTATTAGCTTTGACACTAGATTGAAGTGAGTGACCAGCTTTATGCTTTGGCTGCGTATATCCCCAGGGGTGGGGGGGACGATACCCAATGAATAAGATGGGCAGGCTGCAGAGGTTGTTTGAATGAGGTGTCTATGATGAAAGTGCCATCTGCTGTCAGGAATCAAACCAGTCATCTGGCCCACAACCAGTCACAACATGCAAAGAACATGTTATTAATACTATGGTCACTGTTTAAACTATTCTTTTATTCTTACATCACATAAAATAGTGATAAAAACTCACATGGTAATGGCACAGACATTTCGCAATCCTTGGTATGGAAGGTGAACAGATGCAAATGCCCGGCCCTGGTTAAAAACATCAGTCACTTGGGAGGGGAGATAATTAGCTGATGCAGTGACAGCTTTTGTCAGGTAACCCATCCACCCTTGGTTCTCCTCTGAAGCTTGTCTTGGCCTGAAAAAAAATTCTAATTATATTCTTTCGTATTTTAAAAATTATTACACTATGTGAAGAGTTCCCCCAAAATATTAATCCATAGTTCATAATAGAATGAAAGTAGGCATGGTAAACCATCTTCAATGTTTCCTGTGACATAAAAGGCTTAATTGATCTCATCGCATAGCAAGCTGCATTTAATTTAGGTATAATTTGTTCAATATGTATTTTCCAAGACAGTGTACTGTCTACATATATTCCAAGGAATTTTGTATCAAGTACTTTACAGATTAATTTGTTGGCATAACTGATGTCCAGATCAATTTGGTGGTTGTTTTTAGTTGTGAATGATATGTAATGGGTTTTATCAAAATTTAATGAGAGTAAATTGGCTTCGAACCATCTGTTTAAGGCTTCAAATACAATATTTATGTCATTTTTAAAGTTTTCAAATTTAGAGTTCTTAAATATTATACTAGTGTCATCTGCATATAGAATTGGTTTAGATTTATTGTTGATGGTTTTAGATAGATCATTTATGTAGAGAAGAAAAAGTAAGGGACCTAAAATTGATCCTTGTGGAACACCGTGCTTTATAATTCCCCAGTTTGAAAATGCATTATGACTGGAGTTTTTATTATTTATTTCAACTCTTTGATACCTGTTTTTGAGGTATGATTTGATCCATTCATTAGCTTTGCCAGTTATTCCATAGAAATTTAATTTCGATAGTAAGATATCATGATTAACACAATCGAAAGCTTTTGCTAGATCACAGAAAATCCCTCCCACAATTAATCTGTCATTGAGAGCACTTAAAATATCGTTAGTTAGTTCATAGGTTGCTTTTTCTGTTGTTAGGTCTTTCCTAAATCCAAATTGCTCTTTGACTAATATGTTGTTAGAATTTAAGTGTTCAAGTAGTCTATTATACATAACTTTTTCAAAGACTTTTGAGAATGAAGTCAATATGGATATTGGTCTGTAATTAGAGATGCATTTTCTCTCTCCTTTTTTAAAAAGTGGTTTCATTACAGCGTATTTTAAGCGTTGAGGAAAAGTACCTGATGATAAAGATTTATTACATAGATGATTCAAGGGTGAACTGATGTAAACAGAGCTTGCTTTAAGTAATTTGGTAGAGATTTCATCATATCCATGTGAATTTTTGGGCTTAAGGGATTTAATAATGTTTTCAATTTCCTTCCTTGTTGAGAATTTGAGATTGATATTTGGAAATGAATTGTTAAAGGCACGAGACAGATAGTATATTGGATTATTATTATTATTATTATTATTATTATTATTGGAATATGTTTTCTCAGCTAATGAAAGGAAATATTCATTAAATGCACTTGCGATAGCTTGTGGATTGTTAGTGGACTTCCCTTCAATATTCAAACTTTGTACGTCTTCATTAACAGATTTCTTTCCTGATTCAACTTTCACAATATCCCAGGTGGTTTTAATTTTATTGTTTGATTTTAGAATTTGGCTGTTATAGTTATTCTGTTTGGCTTCTTTAATGACTTTTGACAAAATTTTACAGTACATTTTGTAGTGACTTTTTAGTCTTGGATCATTACTGTCCCTACTGGCCAAATATAGTTGTCTTTTGTGTTTACATGAAGTTTTTATTCCAATTGTTATCCAGGTGGATTTGTTTTTATTTTCATTTTTGACTATTTTTAAGGGAAAGCTTGAATAAAAGATCCTCAAGTATGTGTTCAGAAAGCAATTAAATTTAGAATCAATATTATTGCTGTCAAATACATTGTCCCATGATTCATTACTTAATTTTGTGACAAAATCTGCCATCGTATGCTTGTTGATTTTCCTTACTGTTTGATATTGTTGATTACTGGGCTGAAGGTCAATATTATTTATTTCTATGAGTTGAGCATCATGATCGGATAAGCCATTTATAAAGGGTCCTACAGTATAGTCTCTTAATTTTGAGTTATCAATGAATATATTATCTATCGCTGAACTAGAATTATTTTGAACTCTTGTGGGAAAGTCAACAGTACTGGAGAGATTCAGCAAAACTGAAAGAAGGATATGTCTCATTTTATATCACATTATTGTGTTGCCTTCCCCTCTCTGATCCCTGAATCAATCACTCTGAATGAACTATATGTCATCTGAGGTCATCCTACCAAAGTCATTTTTAATTCTCTGTTATCAAAATGCCCAACCTGGAAGTCATCTGAATTTGTTAGGTGGGAACACCACCAGAACCATTCATTGACTACATTGTTCAGTTCCGTTTGGTGATATATCAGTGAAAATATGCAACTTTTATTAAACTAAGTTCATGGAGCTGAGCCCTTCCTGAGAAGTTGCCAGCTGTGTAGCTACTCAAGAACATGCCAAAGTTTTATGGAACCCAAGGATTTATTACTGTGTTCACAAGAACCCTCCAGTGGTCCATATCCTGAGCCAGATCAATCCAGTCCATACCACCTCATCCTGTCTCTCTAAGATCCATTTTAATATTACCCACACACCTACGTGGTGTGTTCAAAAAGTATCAAACCTTCTTTTTTCCCGTGTAAACCAATGAAGTGCAGGAGGCTCCCTTCAGTGAAGATGTGGAGGGGGACATTCATGCGCAGTCGTGATTTTTTTCCTGCCCGCAGAAAGCGTCAGTCGCTGGCAGTCAGCCTATGAGTGAGGACATGTAGTGACCACTTGTCGGATTCCAGTAAGGTGTAAAATGACGGAAAAACATGAGCAGTGATATTGCATCAAATTTTGCCAAAAGCTTGGTGATACCCAAGTGGAAACCATTTGCAAGATTCAACAGGCTTTCGGGGACGATGCCATGAGCAACTCAAGGATAAAGGAGTGGTACAACGGCTTCAAAGATGGCCGCACATCAGTGAACAGTGAACCGTGTTCAGGCAGACCCTCAACAAGCCAAAATGAGAATGTCATTGAGCAAGTGCAGACTTTGGTCATGGAGGACCGTTGTATCACAGTCCGAGAACTTGCAAACAGGATAGTGGTAAGCATTGGATCAGTACATTCAATTTTGACGAAGGATTTGGGCACGAGTGTCTGCGAAATTTGTACAGACACTGCTAACAATGGAGCAGAAGCAACACCGTCTGGAAATCGCACAGGACATGCTGGACAATGCAAACAGTAACCCCAACTTTCTGAACACCGTGATCACAGGTGATGAGTCGTGGGTTTATGGGTACGACCCAGAAACCAAGATGCAGTCGTCACAGTGGAAACATCCGACATCCCCAAGGCCAAAAAATGCATGTCAGGTCCGCAGCAATGTCCATGTCATGTTGGCCGTTTTCTTCAACTCCCGTGGGGTTGTGGATCATGAGTACACACCACAAGGCCAAACTAACACAAAGGAATACTACCAGGAGGTCCTTCGTCGCCTTCGTGATGCTGTGCAGCGCAAACGACCAGATCTGTGGGCAGCAAAAACTTGGCAGCTTCATCATGATAATGCACCCGCCCATTCTGCCCATCTGATTCAGACTTTCGTCGCCAAACACAACATCCCTGTGGTTCGTCAGGCTCCCTACTCCCCCGACATGGCTCCGTGTGACTTTTGGCTATTTCCCAAGCTGAAAATGCCGCTGAAAGGAACCCGATTTGAGTCAAGAGAAGACATCGTGCGGAATGTGATGGCCCGGCTGATCACCATCCCAAAAGACGTGTTCCAGAAGTGTTTCCAACAATGGTGGAAGCGCTAGAAGTGTGCGCATTACCAAGGACACTACTTTGAAGGGGATTAGGGTTTTGTACCTCCAAATCAATAAATGTATTTCTGCTGGCCAAAGGTTTGATACTTTTTGAACACACCACGTATATCTTGGTCTTCCTAGCGGTCTCTTTCCTTCTGGCCTTCCACCAATATCCTATATGCATTCCTGGATGACTGATTGAGATTAGCTCTTTCTAAAGGGCCCAAATAAGTAGGTGTCTTCCTTTCTCACCTGAAAACAGAAACAGATCCAGTTTCCGAAACATCGTGTGCTCTATTACCTAAAATTTCGGACGATGGAAAAAGTCCCAAACTCCAGTAATTCTGTGTGTCATCCACCGTCAGAACCCTTTAGAATCTACTCTCCATATGATCTCTGTGCATTATTTGTTTACTCACTGTGTCTCTCCCTAACTTCTGCCATCATCAGAGAGTGTTCAGTATCACAATCTGCTGCCCTAAACGATCAGACATGAAGAATACCTGAATGCCATCTCCTATCTATCAAAATATGGGCAATCATGGTTGTGTGTCTTTCCATCAGATGCCCAAGTAAATTTATGACTGTTACAATGTGGGTACATCGTACTTTTGACAATAAGATTTTTTGATGTGACTAAGTTTACTACTCTAACTCCATTATCATTACTAATTTCATGCAAACTCTCATTCCCAATTATTGATTTGAAAATGTCTTCCTTCCTAACAAAATTTTCATATGGTATTCACAGAATTTATTGATTACACGTTCTAGTTCCTTGTAGAAGTTGTCCTTCATATCATCAAATTTATCCTCTGTTGGGTCATGAACATTCAGAATAATCATATCATACTTGCAACCTCTTAGTATTATGTACTATTACTATTACTAACAAACTGTACCCTCTTAACTGCTGATATGATTCTCTTATGTATGAAAAAATATGTACCTAGTTGATGGCCATCATTCCCCTTTCCATAGGAAAATGCAGATTCTCCTACTGGTTTGGTGCCACCCCTGTTCCATCTAACCTCCTGTATTCCCACTAAATCTGACTTATATATTGATATTTCTTTTGCAACTGTCATAAGTGACCTTGGCCCATACAAGCTTCTTACATTCCACGTACCAAATCTCATGTCCATTTTCTTTAGCTTAGGTCATTTATCCAAAGAATCCATCCAGGTCCGTGGCCTTTTGTGACATTTCATAACACACTATTTTTTATGAGGAGGAGTTTTTAACCCCATGCCCAACCCAGAGACTGCTTTCTCAGTACATTCAAACTGCCCTCAGTATCTGGAGGCCATCTCCTCCAACAACAACCTGAGGATGTGCCACGCTGTGGTGAATGCAATTTTTATTAGTGTGTACATTAATGAAACTTTTATTAGTGTAACTTATTACAAAAATGGACACAGTGATTGGTCTGCTCTTCTGGAACCCTAGTGTGCCACAACAATGAGTGCTTTAAAGATGTGTTTACTTTATTCAAGCATGGAGAGTGAGACAGAACGAAAGGGAGAGAGCATGTGTGTGTAGAATTCCTGCCTACCAACCCACCTATCCAAGTACCAACCACATTAAAATAATAACTGGAGATTTCTTTCACAATTTAGAACTAAAAACTCAAATTTATTTTAAGGTCTTGTTATAGTGCTACTAACATTCTCTGAATGTAGTGTGGTTAGACATAAGTAGTATCACACACCGAAACTGCAAAGTGATTACAAATTGAAGTCTAAGATTCTACTGCAAGTGGACTATATGGACTAGGTGAGAGGTCTGGATTAGACATTGCTTCTCACTCACACCAGCACAAATGAATGCTGTGACTGTACTGTAATAATGAGAAACTGTATCACTTTATTACATTTGTGTAAAACTGTAATGAGATAAATCTGACCTCTACCTTGTATCATCAGAGCTAGTAACTTGAAATGTTTCTTCAGTTTCTGAAAGGGAGCTGAACAATAGTGGACAATCGCTCACATTTTATCTAATGATGCTGCAATATCAATGGCTGAAGTCATCCAGTACAGATAATACCAGCAATCAGAATAAAATGAAAGTACAGAGAAAAATCTTTACATAAGATACTGCATAAAACAAATCAGACTGGCCTGAATATGGAATGTGACTGAACTATGACTACCGCCTCTGTGGTCTAGTGGTCAGAGTTCCTGGCTACAGATCCAGAGGTCCGGGTTCGATTCCTGGCGCTACCAGATTTTCTGAGAAGCAGTGGGTCTGGAACAGGGTTCACTCAGCCTCGTGAGGATAATCGAGGATATATTTCAAGGAAATAGCAGCTCCAGTCTAGAAAACTGAAATTAACGGCTGTGTGGATCCGCACTCAGCCTCGTGATGATAACTGAGGAGCTATTTCAAGGAAACAGCAGACCACGCCATAGCTCAAGCAGTTAGTCGCTAGCTTCCTGGGTTCGATCTCGGGTCTGGTTAAGTGGGATTTGTGGTGGACAAGTGGCGCTGGGGAGGGTTTTCCCCTGACAATCTTCATTCCACCAAATTCTCCATCATCATAATTACCCAGGAGAGGCTACAATAGGTCAATCAGTGGCCGCCATGGCAAGTGAACCCAGATGGACTCCACTGCCCAATAAACGGGAGGGGGGAATAGCAGCTCCGGTCTAGAAAACAAAATTAATGGCCATGGGGATTCGTTGCACTGACCACGCGACACCCTCTATCCGCTAAAGTTGGTACTAACTTCGCTGACAAGTGGTGGTTGCTTCGTCGGTATAGTTTGCTTGTGGACTAAAACCACGGAGTTCCCCCCCCCATGAACAATGACAGGGCGTAAAGCCCAAGTCTAGAGATGGAAGTAAAGTATAGATATCATCTCCGGTTAACAGAAACAGATGAAGTGACCACATGCACAGAGATACAGACAGAATAAGAATTTGCAGGAGCCAAATATGACAGAAGTTTACGAAATAACAAAAGAACTGAAATAGCTCTGCTATGTGACTATTGGAAATATTCAAGGAAGAGATATAAGATAAATGGGATAATTCAAACAACTCCACTTGATAGAATCATGCACACTAAAAGCAGAATCACCTGCATGACCCAGTACCTACAGTCAGAAATATTATTGCACTGTAATGATTAATGGAGCACTGAGTTCTGTTTGCGAACATATCTTCAGTTCTATAAGGTGACTCAAGACTTCCTCCCTTAACCAGTCATAACCGGTCCATATGCTTCTCAATGCACGTACAATGAAATCCCTATTTAATCAGTTTCTAGGTGAATTTGCCTTTGTTATAGGGGGCACACGGTAGCATAGTTGGTTGAGGCACTATGCTACAAGCTGGAAGGTTGCGGGTTCGAGTCCCAATGAGGTGGATTTTTTTTCAGTTGACCTAATCCTTCCAGCTGCACTATGGCCCCAGGGTCAACTCAACCTCTAATAAAAATGAGTACCAGGAATTTTCCTTGAGGGTAAATTGTAGCTGGCACATAAGGCTGACAACTTGACCACCATCTGTGAGCTGACTGTCTAGAAAATGTGGGACCCTCAACGAGCCACAACCCTATGGGCCTCCATGGCCTGTTACAGGGATAGCTTTGCCTTCTTTTTTACCTTTTTATATTAAACTGAAAAGTTCATTAAATGAGGGTTATGCAGAAACCTGTATCCTCTTATAAGGCTTACTGTATGTGATCATGGGAAAATTATTTAATAAACTATTTGAACAAATAAAAGCAACTACTTAATAATACAAAATCAATTTCCAAAATAATTAAAAACATGGAATAAACACTGAAAGAACCTCAGCTGAGAATGTAACGATTATGATGCTACTAGCAGCAGGCAGCATGACTTCAGTTCATGATCAATGTGATGTCAGTCACTAAAGATTACAGTTGTGCAGTAATGATTTCTGACAGTGAGAAAATGTGAATACTGACTGTTGTTTGAACAACAGTCACAATAAGTGAACTGTAAGTTCTGGTAAGTCAAAAACTTCTTGCATTATATGCAGGCTATTTATTAAACGAGAATTTACTAATATGGGAAAATAATAAACTCTACATTTGGCTTCAGTTAGAACCAGAAAAAATGTTCATTAAATGCTGGAAAACTACATTGGAATTTTGCTGTACATTTTTTGTGGATATCAAATTTCTTTTTACAAAAATTGTCATTTCTTTTTTAGAAACCTTATAATTTTAGATGACATTACTGGAGATGGTGTCATTTTACATAGTATCAGAGACTGGATATGCCTGGTAAGAAACTAACCATAAAAACTCTGATACTTACACTTCTTTTGGTTCTTCCAGTTTGAATACGTGGACAGTCTCAGTGTTGCTTGAACAACAGAGGAAAGTTGAATCCATGCTGAATGCTAGACTAGAAATGCTCACACAACGTTTCACCCCCCGACGAAACTCGTACAGTTTACTACCATCATGGACCAGGAAAACTCGAATCACAGTCCCCTTCTCTGATGCTGTTGCAACTTTGGTGCCAGATGGGCTAAATCCTAAAGCTGCCAGTGGACTATCATGTGCAGGAATCATAGTCTTCGCATGCTGAAAGGCAAATATATGTTATAATGGGTGGGAGAGAGAAACAGACCATACCACACTAAAACAGTATGAACGTTTTCATACTAATTTACTTCCTTACTTACTTATGGAGCTGAGCCCTTCTTGAGGAAAAGCCAATTCTGCAGCTACTCAAGAATTACCCAGCATATTATGGAACCTGAAGGTTCATTACTGTGTTCACAAGAGCCCTCCACTGGTCCCTAACCTCAGCTAGATTAATCCAATCCATACTATCCCATCCTATCTCCCTAAGAACCATTTTAATATTGTCCGCCAACCTACGCCTTGGTCTTCTCAGTGGTCTCTTTCCTCTGGCTTTCCCACCAATATCCTATATGCATTCCTTTTCTCCCCCATGCTACATGCCCTGCCCACCCATCCTCCTTGACTTGATCATTCTAATTATACTTGGAGAAGAGTACAAGTTATGAAGCTCCTCATTATGCAGTCTTCTCCAACCTCCTGTCACTTCATCCCTCTTCAGTCCAAATATTGTCAACACCCTGTTCTCAAACACCCCCAATCTACATTCCTCCCTTAATGTCAGAGACCAAGTTTCACACCCATACAGAACCACAGGCGACCTTATAGTTTTGTATATTCTAATTTTTATGTTTTTGAACAGCAGACAAGAAGACAAAAAGTTCTGGGCTGAATGGTAGGAGGCATTACCCAGGTTCAAACACCTCATAATTTCCTCCTCAATCAGGTTTTGATTTGTTATTGTCGTTCCCAAATATTTGAACTGTGCCACATTTTCAAAACATCTGTTTTCTATCATTATGTCATGATTTTGCCCTGCATTTTCATGATGAGACAACAACATATACTTAGTTTTCTCTGTGTTCACTTCTAGACCAACCTCTTTACTTGTGTCAATTAATGTTTGTTTTTTTTTCTTTATGGTATCTATATTATCACCCAATAGATTCACATCATTGGAACAGACCAACAGCTGATGTGTCCCGTTTAATTTCAGTCCCACTTGGTATTCCTGGACCTTCCTAATGGCATATTCTAAAGCGAAGCTGAAAAGGAGTGGCGATAAAGTATCTCCTTGTCTTAGTCCATTCTGGATAGGAAATTTATCAGACAAATGTTTACCTATACGGACTTCACTATACGTTTCATTTAAACACATTTAAATCAGCTTAACTAGTTTTATGGGTATCCCAAACTCTATCAGAATATTGTACAATACTTCCCTCCTAACTGAATCATCATGTAATGTGTTTGGAGTAGATACTTCCATGGCAACGCAATAACAGTGGCCCGTTGCATAGACAATGCCAAACAGCATCCCCGGAGATGAACAACAGAAGGCTGCTGAGTAACAACGGATGAGATGAAACTCATTACCAGTGTATAAAGAGCGTTCCCGAAGCAACGGATTTCCGAACATGTGAAATCGAACCTTGGTGAAGGGTGTCCTCTACTGAGTCTGCAGAACACCTACATAAGCCAAGAGCTACAGACAATAATACAGTTGGAACCTAGTTGCCATACTATACAGTTGAAAGATAGCCGCCGCAGAATACAGTTGAAGTGATAACAATTGTAAAGAGTGTAAGAGTGAGTATGCAATAAAGATTCGCCAAATCCGAGACCCAAGTAAAGTTATTTGTCGCGTGACACACAAACACGTGACAACTGGTATTAGAAGTGGGATCAGTTCGGATTCTCTGAGACAAATTTAAAAGATTTGACTTACACATGAGCTGAAATGGAGTCACAGCAGATGATGGAACTGCTGCTGAAGGAATTCAGAGCCATGCAAGCAAAGGCAGACGCCAAGCAGGCTAAGGCGGAAGCCAGATATGCACAAATGATGGCTGACTGGAGATCCTGGCGGGAAAAGATAGACGCCAGCCACAAGGAGATGGTGGCCGAACTCAAACCCGAAGCAGACAGAAAAGCTGCGCGGGAAAAAGTTGAACCCGAAAAAGACATAGAGATGACTGCCTGCCAAGAAATGGAGGCACGTCAAGAAGAGGAGAAGCCGACCTCACTGGACAGGAAACTAAGGTGGCAGAACAAAAAGAGGTACCCGTAGAAGACGCCAAAGTAATGCCGGTCGGAAAACTGAAGAAAAAAAGGCATAGGGACAAAAACTGGCCGCGGAGCACCGCCGTCAGAAAGCAAAGGATTTTACATGTGGAAATTGTAATCCCCAGAAGAAATTGGCCATCACACACAGAGGGACGAGCCACCGTGCAACAGTGGCATGGTAAAAGCGGGCAACCGACAAGAAGATGTCTCGTCGTGCAGCAGTGGCACAACGCAAGAGAGACATCGTAAAGTCGTACATTACCCAGGAAAAGTGTCACACACAGAGAGAACTGGTCACTCCTAGAACTAGGACAACCCACCGTGCAAGAGTGACAAGGGATAATGCCGTACTGGATGAAAGTTTTAACAGAATAAACAAATGTTTTTTTTACTGAAACTGTAAAGACTGAATACAAATTGTTCCAGGAATGCTTCACAATGCCACCACAAAGAAAACAGCTGCAATCATGTGATGATCCCTTACACAAATTTATAATTTCTATTATTTCAAGCAGTGCATGAAAACTGCTCAGACCATGTTTGGCATAAGGCAAATTCTACCGTGAAAATGGCTGGAACAGGGTTTGGCAGTGAATGTGCTAACTTAATGAAGTCCAGAAATGTTCATACATACTGCTTTCAGTTCTAATCAATGGTCATGCCAACTAATATGAGCAGAGAAGTTACTGTAATTTAAATATACACAAGGCACAGGATGCTCCAATACAGGACTGGGATTAATTGCAAACAACACATACTTACACTTGCTTGCTAGTGGTAATTAAACAATGTATTTTATTGGATATGCTTAAGCCAATGATTTTGTTAAATTTATCACAAGTATTTCATAAAGGAACTAATTTCTCAGTAATACACTGTAACATCCTGCTGCAATTCATTTAGTATCAAATGGTTTCATAGTCTCACTTAGTAAAAGCTATTCACTTTATAAGGTTTCCTCATTTACAATTTTAAAACACCTGATGATGACCTAATACGTCGAAATATGTAGTGAATAACTTTTAATATGTTCTACAGAAAGAAGTGCTGCACATAAGACGGTGAAACCATTTGAAACTAATTTCTCGTTTTTATATTATTAAAACTTTTGATTTTGTGAAAAGCAGTACAAATACTTTCCAAGAGAATTCAATTATTTTATGGAAATTTCCATTGACTGAATCTTGTAATTTAAAAATTAATTACTGTATGTATATATGAGATGAGCCTGGGAATAAAATACTTTTCATAAATCTGAAATATCTGTAAGTGCAATACTTCATATCAACATTTCTCCAATCATGAAAGTTTTAGTGTTGCTTATTCTAATTCCCCAGGTTATATTAAAAATGTGTTTGCATATAATTATGTAATTAATCATTTAATAACATATAAAATACATCCAAGACTCAACTTACAAGATTGATAGCATCAAAGATTTGAACTTCTCCAATAGTGTTGGATCCAGGATAAGCTAGAAAGCAGTTGTCACTGTTGATAGAAAGTGTACAAAGTCCTGATGGATTTGGTGGTGTGTCACGTATTGTATGTAAAACCTTCATATCTCGAATATTATGGATGTATAAAGATTCTTCCAAGCACACCACTAGCCTCTGCAATGAAAATATAACACAAAATCAACCATTTCAATTACTTGTGTACATATTTTCTCTTGGTGTATGTATGAAATTTATCAACAGGAAATTTTTGTGAGCAATAACTGTCTGATGAGCATCAGTCACTCATCAGGTTGACATTGACTAAACTAAATTCCAAGCAAAGGAGGGTATGTATGACATGCTTCCCATTATTAGAAGATGGTACACAGTGGTGCAAATCAGGTCATGAGTTGCCAAGTTAACCATTCCAAACATCAGTAAGACAATTACACAGGATTGCAGTATTGAAAACATAAAGAGTCCAAGTTGCAATAAGATCAGGTAGCCAAAATCCAAGGAACTGACCGCCTATTCAGGATTATCTGAATTCTCCAAGGAAATAATGTGTTTTAAAAAAGCATCTGTGTATCTAATGTCCCATATGTTCATCACAGTGAATATAAGAAAATACCGTATATACAATGAACATGACCTACTGAAAACAGTGATATAGAAAAGTGGTACCAGAATTAAAAAACCAGCCTAGCATCTTATGACAGGCACTGAATAAATATGGTTAAAGTTATTTAATCTCTGCCCCATAATAGAACAACTTCAATGATATGGTAGATCAAAAGGCTTTTAGGTACACTGCAGAACTAGGAGCATTGCACATATCTGATCTGGCACAACTGTAAGCTTGACTGTCTACATGTGAAAGTGTCACCCTACTTGTCCAACCAACACAATAAATGGACCACTTTATAGCCAATGATTTTGGCTGGCTGTCGACAATGCTCCCTAGATGGGCAGGGTGTCTAAACAGAGAATGAGACAGGGGCACGACTCAGTTACAATCCCCTTGCTTGTGTAGTGACTAGGAACTCAAGCTATAGGCATATCAACTAATGGAAAATTAACCTGATGTATGATATATAAGTACAGAGTGACATCACCTGAACAAAACAATCAAAATGGTTGCACAGATCAGTCACAAAAGACTGTATGAGAAATAAAGAATTACATTGCAAACAACTTGTGTGCAACAAGTTTCATCTAGTAATGTGACTTTAGCTAAAGATAGCCCCATGCTAACCACCATGAGCCTTTAGCAGAGATAAATATACAAGGGCTATTTGGAAAGTAACCTGTGTCTATTTGAGGCAACTAATGTAGGAGCAGGAGAGAGCTTGCATATGTGACATAGCGTCACATGACACACTGCCCTGTAGACCATCACATATCTGGTCATCCAGTGTTTGTTCTTTTATCTGCAGAGTGAGTTATGATGTGTCCTGTGACAGATAATCCCATCAGCTGCAAAATTTGTGCTGTTACCTGCTTCCTTTATGCTAGAAACATGAGTGCTGTGGAAATCCATCATGAATTATGCATGGCAGTTTATGACCAGAATTTAATGAGTAAAGGAAGTGTAAGACAATGGTGTAGATTGTTCAAAGATGGGTGAACAAATGTTCATGATGAAGAGCGCACTAGATTATGTATTTTTTTTACTAATAATTTTTGTTCTCATTGCTTCTTTTCTTAATGGCTCAGTAGAAGTTACTTTCTGAATAGCCCTTATATATTAAAAAAGATCACAACTTGAAAAGAGCAGGTCAAGGAAGTGTGCGTGTACACACACACACACACACACACACACGAGTTAAACGTCCAACTAACAGGATAATGTAACATAGAACTCTATTTGTGTATATAAGAAATAAATTCTTATTTTGCCAATCACAATAAATAAATGAATAAAACCTTACCAGTAGCATATTCAGTCACATGACAAAGGTCCCATCTAAAATCCAACTAACAAGTCCAAAATCTGAATTTAAAGAATACCTCAACGTCAGAAACAGAATTTTACATACTGTCATCCCAGACACTCAAGCATAGAGATAAGCAGGAGCAAATGTAACTGCCAAGTACACATTACTAGATGACCAAAGGGAAGGGATTGGTCCAAGGGAAACATTTGTGGGTACCACGTGATGAGTCAGGAGAACAGCAAGTTCGTGTCAGAAGATGTGATAGAAACTAAATACAAGAGAGGGCTGACCAGGTATGGCCACTCAGCCAAGCTATCAGAACAGCTCACATGTCTTTATCAGCTACTCTCTCCACAAATGAAATTAATTCATAAAATATCACTTTCAATTCAACTAATCAAGTTTCTACTTTTTCAATTTTCTCTTCTCCATGTCATCCAGACCAGTTCTGGGGCCCACCCAGCCTCCTATCTGATGGATACTGCAGGGTTTTTCCTTGGGGATACAGCAGCTGGGGCATAACACTGACCACTAACCTTCAACTGGTGCCAAGGTCAATAAAATGTTGATCTATATATCCACTACTCCATACGCCTTCATGGCGTAGTGCTTAATTATTTAAGCACATGGATAACTTTGCCTAAGAGATTTCCTAACAAAATTTCTGTATGTATATTTGTACATTTCATTGTTAAATATTCAGCAGTTTTGGAAAATTTCAGAAAAATATATGCAGAGAGAGAGAGATATATATATATATTTATGTATAAACCTTCTTTAGTATGAGTTATATTTTAAATAAAGTGAAACAAAGTTTAAAATGTATGTATTTAACAGCTGAACTTTCTTCATATGTCTCCTGGCAAGAATACATATTTACTTGTGCTATGTAGCAGACAGCACTCTCCCCAACTTCGTACTGGCCTGTCATCTTATTTTCTTTTAGTCAATGATGTAAGTACTGAAATAAAATTTATGGTTACATCCTTCCCTACTCCTTATGAGAAACAGTCAGATGACAACCATTATGATCTCAAAGTCTACTTTTAGTCATTTAATAGATGCTTACCGCCCTATTTAGTTTGACAGCAAGTATGGTGTTAGAATAGCTGTAATTACAGATCTCTGTGCCCTTCTTGAAGTGACACACTTTCAGCTTCCTGGGAGAGGTGAGACTAACCACTGCCACCAGACTGCTACTGAACAATCTTTCCACAATGCAGATATCTTCAGAACCTGCATAAATAAGAATATTTTCCCTGATGTGCTGCAGCAAGAACAAACATTATAATACTCTTACCACTGAAGGTATTGTTTTGCTATGCCAACAATAATATTTGCCATTGCAAGTACTTCCACTCTACACATTTTTTACATGTCAAATGTCCATAAAACATTTCTCACATTTATGCACTTGCTCAGTTGGATAAACATTCTCCATAAATTGGCTGCAAGGTTCATTATTTGTTACTGTGGACAACACCATTACTCCAAACACAAAACATTTTTATTCAGTGAACTGATGAGTTACACAGTAATTAGACTATCATAGGCTCTTTTATTTTGTATTAGACTATCATAGGCTCTTTTATTTTGTAAAGTATTCTGAACACAAGTGGTGTTTTGGCATACAATTCTAATAAGGGAGGCTAAAAGTACTTAAAGCAGATCTCGTGCAACAAGTAACAGCATGCATTCCATTTTTTTTGAGTGGAGTGACAAACATGAATGAGTTCACTTAGTTGAATGATGTATGGAGACATGAAGGTCAGCCCACTGGCAGGCTTTGTGCCAGGTAAATCATCTCATAACAGGCAGATGTGCCCCCCACATTACAGCTTCCCCCTTGATACCACTTGCTGCATGAGATCTGTAAAATGTTTGTACAATCCTGCACATACGACATCAGCATCCCAGGCCTAAATTGTCTTGTAGAGAAAAATATTATCTTATTCTCTTCTATTAATATCCAAGGCCTTTGTTGTGTTGTTTTGGGAGTAGGAAGGAAGTAATATGCCTTGTAAAATAGCATCATTTGAAAATGCTTACAAAATAAAATCCTGCCAAGATGGTTAGCCTGGCAGGAAGTAACTAAAAGACTTCCAAACTGTGACTGACATACTGTAAACTTCCATGTCTGCAATGATAAACTGCTTTTTGGCTTATTTAATGACACTTAACCAACAGTATGGGATATATACAGCAACAAATTGTAACCGCACCACTGTCATGCACCCATTTAAATTTAATTAACTTCATTAATTAGAAATTTAATTGTTTCACAGTTGCATGTTATGAACAAGTTAGTGAGCCATAGGCCTACTCTTGCATGTAAGAATTAGCTTAATCTCAAACTTGCAGTAGAACAAGAAAGAACCCCTGTCGATTTTTCATAGAATTTTAGCTTGACAGTGTAACTGCGGCAATCTTTGAGAATTCAAAGCTTGAGAGTTTCTACAACTCATAATTCTTAAGGAGGAGGGCCAGAGACTGACGCTTAGGCTTGAATCCATCAAAGACCTGTTGAAAGTTACGTTATGTCTTTAAGGGCTAAAATTCAAAGTCACAGTGAGCTGACTGGAAATTGGGGAAATAAAGTAAACTCCCTAATTTAAAAACCATCCACTAGAATTTTGGGGTGTGACAGAGCCAAGAAGCTGCTGGACCAAGGACCTCACAGTTTGGAGAGAAGTCAGTCATCAAAGTCAGTCACACACAGGCTCTTGAACCATTCAGAAGCAAAACTTGTATCAGTCATTTGAAAATTTGTTGTCTGTACTTGTAAGTATTAGTAACCAAGCAGTAAGTTCTAAAAGTACTATCAATACAAGCAAAAAGTGTTGCGCTTCAAAGAAACAAAAACTAAAAAATTAAGCAAGTTTATAAGTGAAATTAGTAATTGAGTAAGAAAAAGGGCATAAATGTTATTAAACAGTTAAACTTGATATATGTACGTGTGTAGCATTGAGCCTATTTGCTGCCCCTTGGAGCTAGAGGCCGCTATAGGCCTTGAGAAAGAAATCCTCAGCTCTACCGACTACAACGAACCTCACTTCCTTATAAATAAAACAGCCTGAGATAATTAGTAAGCACTAATTAGACCTCTATGGTCGGAATGAAAAGAGCAGTGAGAAAATTATAAAAAAAAAAACAATTAATTGGGAAGGGCACAAAAGGAAAAAACTTCACCTATTTTGAGATATCATCCTAGTATTTATCTGCAGGGAGTAAGGAAATAAGTGAAAAACCTCAATCAGCATTATTTCCGGACCAATATTCAAACCTGAGAGCCATACATAAGATGCAAGAGTGCAAATTACTACAGCACGTCTGATGTTAACTTGTGATTGACATAAAGAAACCTCTGAAAGGTCTCTAATGACTATTTAGAGTCATGGTTTAGATTTTTAAAGGCTCAGGCACATTCACTCATCAACTTTTAAACTGACAGTCATTCACATGCTTTACTAATCAATCTGCTTTTTTAAGTTCATCCACTGAAATCATGATTCTTAGAGGAGAAATACATTAAATCAGACAGGAAACTACTATTCAGTTTCAAATTAACAGTCTTCTGGGATGCAAACACCTATAGTTTTGTGTCGATTATCAATAAAACATAGAAAATAATCACCTGGATTAATTTTTGACATTTCCTGACCAACACTGGTGCCGCCAACTCCAAGGAATAAGTTCCTCCAAAAGAGTATTCTGTCAAACTACATGGCATTACATCCTAGAAGACTGTAATACTGATATTTACTACTGTAACAACCTCAGATCTATATATTCAATCTAAATACTACCTTCACAGAAACAGACCAGCAAGAATTAGGCAATATTTGTACACACTTCTTTCATGGAATCAGTGATTCTGATATGCAGCAAAGATACCCAAGACAAATTTGTTAGAGAGGGTCAAGTCTTTCAGTAGCAACAAACATTAGGACAGAATTAGGAAGATTTTAAGACCAACACACAGACTGGAGGATAATATTACAGTGGGTCTTAAAATGAACATATATCATTTTTGCCATTAATGCAGCAATACTTCATTATTTATTTATTTATACAGCACACACTACATGTTTCGACCTCAAATGGGTCATCTTCAGGTGCTGCAAGTTTCTCACATACTATTACTGAACTGCAATGCTAACATTTCCAATTTTATAAATGGTTCATACAAGTTAGTTTTTATTCAATTCATAAACTTGGCAAAACTTAGACTAGACTTTAGTTAAAATTAACAATAAAATACAATAAGATAAGAATAAGAATAAAAATCATGCATGTGATAAAGTTATATGCATAAGAATAGGTTAAACCTAATTTAATTATTAGATGATCCTAAATCCACAATTTGATATTTAAAAATGATTTAAAAATGATTTTGAAATGTTATAAGCTGTGAGCAGCTTCGTATCTGTTACTGCAGTAGACCACTCATAGGCTTTGTAAAATTTCTTCTACTGTTTGCTGCATTGGCTCGCTTGATGGTAAAAATTATATATGTTCACTGTATATATGCAACAGGATTAAATCCTTAAAAATAGTGGGGTCTTAAAGAAGATGAGTATTTGGAAAACTGTGTCATCAACATGGAGTATCACTCAAGCTTCAGGTAGAACAGGCATTCTCAAACTTTGTGTTGCTGAAACTCCCTAAAATAATAGACAAATTTACACAATCAGCACCATCTCTAGCACTCAGTGAAAAGCGCAGTTCAGCAGATTGCTGGAGGTTCCTCTCAACTGTGAGGTCACAGCAGGAAACTCTCTGCACCTACAATAAGCTACGAAACATTCCTGTACAGTCATAAGTAGATATGTGAAATGTTTCACTGATTGCAGATACATTTTCCAACAGAACATATATTGCATCTTACTGACTTGCCAAAACTATAATTTAAATAATTCATGATAATTTTACAACTCCTATTAAAGTAGGTCAGAGGATCATCAGCTACAGCTTAAGAATCTGTGAGCTAGACCACATAATTTAATAAACTGAGAGGTCGGGACACTTAAGGGACTCCAAAGGATTTAAGGGTGTAAATAGAAAACGGAGGAAAGTGAAGAGCTTGTGTAGCCTTTTGAAAGTTCACTGATATTTTGGAGGAAAATGTGACCTCCACCTTCATGGTGGAAAATATGCCAAACAAGAAACCAGCATGAAGCAGGTGGTAAGGAGGGCACTCAGCCTTCTTCAGGGCCAAAACGTAAACTAAGCAAGAAACCAGAAGAAACAGACCTGCCTCTGCAGGTCTCTTGCCTGACTTATTCTTTGACCCTAAAGATGGAGTAGATATTCTCCTCCAAAATACCAGGCTCTCTCTGAACTACATGGTGTTAATACCCAGAAGACCTACTCTTCAAATATATTACATACTGGATCTTTCACTGATGCAATTTCTGACATTAGTGCTCTCATCATGTTGCTTCTCAAACATTTATTAGATCATAAAACAAAACAACAGTTTTCCTACAGCTTCAGGTGCTGAAGTAGTTTCTTATCTTCCAAATAGGACCTTGTAATTGTAAACAATCTGGCCATCTGCTGTAAACAAACAGGTCACACACAGTGGAATGAAACTTCGTGTTCATATATTACTACCTACAGCAAGTTAAAACAAGTTGCTGCTTCAAGATGCCCTCTGAATTCAAGATAAATTATTCATATATTATTGTATACATGAAACAAAATGCTTAATGATAAGAGAAAAACCGTGAAAAGAAGCAACTAATGATAAAATTCATTGGTATTGAAATATTTCTTCACATAATAATCATTTCTCAGAATGAACTTTGTATGTATTATTTGTTACATTGCCTATACTCTGAAAAAAACAACAAAAAACTCTTAAATAACAAAGTCTGTCAAATATGTTGGTCTTGAGGTCCTCACAGCAGTGACTGTGATGTGACTGGGATGTAATGCCATGTAGTCTGGTACAAGTCTACCAATATATTTCTGAGCAACTTACTGCCCCCATCTGCAGGGATGCAGAGTAAACCAAGCATGTAACAAGCAAGAAGCACGTGTCAGTATATTCCTTCAAAACACTGGAATTTCACCAGGCTACATGGCATTATATCCCAGAAGTTAGTACCATTCAAGTCTCGTAGAGTCAGATTTGGACTACATATGGTTACTGTAGGCACGATTCTAATGCATGTTGTTTAAAGTGAAGGCCATAACAAACTACTTATTACAACAATAAGTTTATGTCATGCCTACATACATCAGCCCTACACCTAGCAAGAACATGGCAGCACTTTGTACCATTCACACTTACCATTTTCATATATCTGCTCCAAATTGTCAACAGAACTCAGTGAGAACAGACGATAACCAGTTTTTGTGCCCACAGCCAGAGAACTGTAGAGTAAAAAGAAAGAAAAAGAAATATTTGGCACAGTACATACAACATGGTGGAATACTTGCCTGAATATACGTATGATACATACTATTATTATCAAAAAGTTTAATTACTTACCTCAATGAATCATTGAATGATATATGCATGATTGACATTCTCATACACATACAACCCTCCTCCTTATTTTCAATATGACGGCACTGATCTTCTGATGAATGTCATTCGTCTCCTTCTAAACGTTTGCATAATACGTCCTACTTTTAAAAAAATGTGCTTTCACTTCGGTTACCAGCAAGGAAACGTTTCATCATGCAAAAATATTTACGAACTGCCTCTGACACAAATAAACCTGACACATCAGCGCACCAACTCCAAAAAAAAAAGGATAAAAAAAATGGTAACTGCTATTAATGCTTATCACTGTTGAGAGCACGAAAACTGTGGAACAAAGAAATTACAACCTATCCACTGCACTTGCACAAAAATCTGTGAGCCTAAGCTATGACAAATGTAATGATACTTACGTACAGTCCTGATTAAAATTAACAAAGAAAACGCCACTAGCAGGATCACCTCCTTGATTTGCGAGGTTCATTAGTCCTGATATGCCAGCCTTTAATCCCTGCGTCAACACATCAACGTTTCTAGCAAAATTTTGCATATATATTGCGTGAATGTCTACGACCTTGGTACAATCACTCCATATCGACCATGGAAACAGCTAGGATAAACAGCTGAGCCTGGCGTTACGTGTTTGTTTACCGTTCTTGAGACTTGGAACTTCGAACTTGGAACTTTCCAGTGTAATTATGCCGCTTAATTAGAATAGCAAAGCCACCTGAAGATTATTCGCGTTCGTGAATTTGTGAACTTCGTGAAGAATGCAGCCGTCTGGGATGTGAGTTTGTGTAGTCGGAAAGAACTCTACTGATTCCGACTTTCCGGAGAAACGTACTATCTAAGCTTCCCCCTACTACTGTATCTTAACATCCTGTTTCCTGTTTAGTACTAGAATTTATTTTTCAGTTTTGTTTACCGCCCAACATGCAACAACATCAAGAGCTAATATTATATCCTTGTCAAATTCGTCATGCACTACATGTTTCCATATTTTAGTTATGTAATCAAGCACGTAAGGAATTTTGAAAGCCATGTGCAATTCGCGGGAGTGCTGTTGTGAACACGGTAATGAACCTTCAGGTTCCATAAAATGCTGGGAAATTCCTGAGGTTCCTGAGTAGTTGCAGAATTGGCGGCTCCTACGGAGAGGCTCAGCTCCATGAGTAAGTAAGTAAGTAAGTAATGTGCAATTTGAGGAATGGTGTGTGCCTGTCAAGATTTCCAGCAGCACAGAATACTGTTCTGCAAGCTCTGTAGTTTCAAGATGCGAGCGCCTGCTGCATACTCACAGGTGGAATAGGCATGAATCATAACTGACCTAATAAGAGCTTCGTAAAGTATAAGTGTAATATTTGTATTTAATATAGGATTTGAGGTTCTCACAGCTGTGGCTATGAAGAATTTGACGGACTGCACGGCGTTATAATCATATCCCACAAGTCATGGCTCTTCAGTGGCGTGTATTCTATATATGCTTATTGCAAGGCAAATAAAACTAAACAGGCATATTTAGAAGAGTTAAAGCCCACTTTTGAATAGAGTATAGGTCCTTACATACATGCAAAAGGCCTTGGCTACTGTCCTTTCTATATGATAACTACACATCATCCTGCTGTCAAAGGTGACACCAAGATATATTACATTATTTACAAAGGGAATGTCTCATCCGTTTAGTCATAGTCCATTGCTAGGTACTCCAAGTTTTCTGGAGAAATAGGTTGCCCAAGTTTTCCCTTTGTTGCCCTTAATGTTTCAGCACTCACACCATGAATTCACTGCTGTGAGGCCTTGTTGCAATTTGCAGAGAACATGACTTTTGTGTTTCTCTGTCGTGTAAATGCAGGTATCATCTGCTAACAGAGCAAGATGAATTCTAGGTGACGCTAGGGCATCGTTTATATGTAGTAGGCTATACAATACTGGAGCAAGGATGGAACCTTGAGGCACTCTTTCTACTATTTCGCTTGGCATAGAAATTTTGTTTTCTACCAAAACTTTAAATTTTCTGATAATGAAAAAAGAAAGAATTAGCTTAATGGGGCTTGTCAAAAATCCTAATTTTGACCAGAGTGCCGTGTTGTGTCAAAGACTTCCTGGATATCCAAGAACACAGCAGCTGTCAACAAATTTTTGTTGAAATTCAGGGTTATGTGATCCACCAGCCTTATATATTGGAGTGTTATACTGTGACCTGCTCGAGAACTGAACTGACTTTTATTTAATAAGTTTCTTTCCTCAATGTGTTTTTGGATAGTTCTTAAAATGTGTTTTTCAAGTAGTTTTTCAGTAGTGGACAAGAGGCTAATTAAACATAAGTTTTGGGGAAAGTTTGCATCTGTACCAAGGTTTGACAGAATTATCATTTTTGCTTCCTTCCAAGGTGCTGGGAAGTGACAAAGCTGAAGGCAGTGTATGTATGTATGTATGTATGTATTTCGTCTCTATAGATCATTGTTACACGATATGTTACATTTGTGTGATTGAAGGGATTTGTTAAATGCACAAAATGTCTTCTTGGAAGATGCCAAAGACATTAATTTCAAATTCCATAAAAACCAAAGGTCTTCCCTAATTTGAAAGATTGTATATCTTTTAAGATGTCACAGGGTCAGAAATTAACAGGGGTGTCTTCATGGATGTTATTAACAGTCAAAGTCAAAATCAGATTTACTTTATGACTGGCAGCAGTTTGTCATGACATCAAGCTCCTTGAGACTCATGACCAGAGACTTTTTTCAACTGAACCCATGCGGTAATAGTCATTATGTAACACCCTCTTGGAAGAGAAGATGGGTTTCTCTCTTATGAATATGTTTGGTCTTTTATCAAGTGTACACATCACATATATAGCACGTTATTGAAAATTCTTCCTTTTGCACTATAGAAAAGTCCTCTGTCAGTACAGGCTTTGCAGAGCAGATCATGCCTATCTTATGTATCTTATGCTAAGAGAGTAACTATGAGTAGTTATAGAGTGGACATTTCCTCAAGTATACCTAATGAAATCAAGAAGTTGGCAATCTCTGTAAGTTGACTACCCATCTGTCTTGTATTTTCATATTATTGTTTTGTACATGTTTGAACCTTCCTATATTGACCTCACAGAAGAGTATTTCATTTTTTTACTCCTACCAGTCTGTAAAAGAGAAAATTTCTCACTCATTTTTCTTGGTATTTATACAAGGTAAAGTTGTTCCTGTGCTTAAATAATCAAGCACCACCTCATGAAGAAGTATGGGGAGTGGAGGTATAGCTTCATGAATTCATAACACTGGTGCTAGGTGGAGGTAAGTGGCCAGTTTTGTACCCTAGACTTCTTACGCCAGGGGAAGATGCCCTGGTATCTGCTGGGTAGAAGACTTTGTGAACCCTAGAGCCAGTCTTGATGTTTGCCTCTGCAGGGAATCTAGTGTGGCTGTCAAGCCTGTAGCCTATCAGTGTACCACTTGAACTAACCCACCTCCCATCCAGTTGTTCATGCATAACACATGACTATACTGCTATAACATTAGTGTTATTAAAGTTATATTGATCTTATTGAAATTTCTCGGAAGAGTTTCAGTGTGTAAAAGACAGGAACATGGTATTGAATGTAAAACTCATTAAGATCTCTTAAGTAAAATGAACAAATACATAATCCAATTATGAATGCAAGATCACAAAAATGCCTTTGGATAATATTCCATTCTTGTTACATGTACATTAAAATTTGATTTCCTTAGTAGCATTTGTTTTTATGAAACAACATATGCCTTTTCATAACAGTAAGTTATATTATGCTATTATTCAAGCAAGGCAGCTGGCCTAATTAGTAAATGCATTGTGGCCATAGTAATTTAATGAGTAAGTTCATGTAAGTTTATAACTGTATTCCTCTATATACAAAACTGAAATGTGACAGTGAGATGGTAGTTAGGAAATTATGCAATTTGGGTTACAGTAGTAACACATTTTTGAGGGTTAACATGTTTCATGAACATGAGTTGTGTAGGTCATGAACTAGTGAGCAGTCTTTTCTTTGGGTGTGTTGCATCTGTTCTGTGAATGTTAATATTTTAATGTTGATATATGAAGTGTATTTGGTATTTATCATGGTATGTGACTTCCTTTATGCATATTTGGAAGGTTTCTTTCATTTCCTAAACACACATTTAGATGTCCACTATTGTAAAGTGTAATGCGCGATGCAATGATTGCAAGAAGGAACATGCATTGCTTGGTAATTGGTGGTAAACACTTCAACAATATCTGAGCTACAGCTAAGTAACCACTCATAAAAAATAGGGGCATTGTTGGAGACAGTGTTCTCTGCTGGGTGAACCCCGAGGCTATATGATGAGGACACTAGGCCAACTTAGAGCAGTTCAGCTGAAAGTCAGCCTGTGAAGAGAAGTGGGTGTGAAATGTCTGCCAACCTGGAACTTAGGTAGTTGGGTTGTCAATTTACAAGGGTTCTGCATGTGCAGCTGTGACAAGAGGACCTGAGCACTGGAAGCTGAAGAATCTCCACTATGTTAAATCTGTTGCCAGGAAATGGCTAGTGAAGACTGTAAGAGACTGAAGACACTAGTCTGTGTGTGTCAGTGATCTGCAAAGTGTAGTCCTGAGGGGTGCATATAAATGGTCAATAAATCCATTCAACAACCCATATCCCATGCATAATAACCCTTAAATATGCAACAATATAAACCAGTTCATTATAATCATGTGGAGAGCTCTATTCTGAAACCAACAGGATAAACCAAGTGGAGACTTGATAGGTCTATGCAGGTAATATGAGAGTAATAGTTTTGCAATTTCTAAAATTTGTATCTCAGTGAATACCATAAGACATATTTGAGTAAACTCAATTGAGATTCCCTATTCTGCATAACTTTCATACTGGCTCTGGGGCACAACCTCTGTCCTATACAATGTGGACTTGAGGCTATTTCCCCACAAATAAAGCCACAAGGGCCACAAGGGTGTGCAGGGTACACTCACCTCCATTTATTGCTGCACCCACACATCTTCCTGGTGATGTACTTAATTGTTTAAGCCCAGGGGTAACCTCACCAATACCTACCAGTTCATGTCTCCTGTTAATTTAATGGGGATTCAAGAACACGGTAATACTAAACTTTGAAGTGCATATGAATGTTTAATCCCATTATTAGCCTCAATAATAGACTCTACTAGAAAACAAACAAGAATATATTATATATGACTTGAAACTACACTGGCAAGTGTATACACTATTTGCAGAAGTCCTACAAAGATTGGAGTCTGCAGTACAGTACAGTGATCCCTGTGCTTAACTAATTAAGCACTATGCCATAAGAGCGCGTGGGGAGTGGATGTATAGATCCTTGAAATAACTTATGCATCGATATACTCGTATACAACATTATTGGATTGGGCCCTCAATAACCGCAGGTTTGTGTCAGCTTCAGTACCTGCATTATATGTAAAATTAACATTTATTTTATTTCGGACTTTTATCCAGTGACATGACAGTTTACCGTAAATTTCAAACTCATGCTTCACCAATGCTGCTGACACAGACTACTTAAATTATTCATATTTATGCCTCTTTACAGAAATAATCAATTAATGTATTTTTTTGGAACTGATGACTGCATTTTTTTTCAGAACATGAGTATTACTTAATACTAATCACATGCAGAAGACCACTGTATTCACTATTTGTTGTTCTAGTCATGTCATCACTCCTTTAATATTTACTTGTATTTTGGCTGGAGGAACAGTAAACACACTTCTTTGTAATGTACCTCTATACCAACACACTATAGCAAGGACTGCTACAATATGGTC